TGCTCTACATATGAGGCTGTGCATTCAAAGAATTCTGGATTAAAATCTAACAGAGATTTCCACAGCAGCAAAGCTGATGGTAGAAATATAAACCAGAGGGAAAATATTTGAGGGCAAATTCAGCAAACATTTGTTTGTTTTTTGTTTTGATGAGATAGGTTGAGGTCAGGAAGGCTGATTCTCTGAGATTTTGTTTATCTCTGGGGGCTTTATATTTCCCAGGCCTTAGTTACCTCATCTCTGCCCTTTAGTGTGTTTTAAGTCAGTCTTTGTTTTGGCTCCTCACAACTGATTTGGAATTAGAAATTTTGACAGGAGACTGTTCTCCCAAAAACATAACTCTGGGATGCACACTCCACTAAAACTGAAATTGACTTAAGAAAGTTGTGATGTTACAGTAGATTATTAAAGTACATTATTTAAGACGCTAAAATGCAACTTGTGTATTTTCTGTAAATCGTGATGTAATATGATTATTGCATGATGTAGCACGGTAGGAAGAGGTTCACCTGTGTCGACATGCTTCCCTGTAAGCGCATAACTTCATTGAAGTTATGAAGAATGGACTGGTACTGCTGATCAGTGTACTCAAATCGATTCCCAAACACCAAACAGCAGATGATATTCGACACAGCATTATTTATCAGTAGCTGGACATTAAATGGCTTTCCTGCAAAAGAAGACAGAAAATGCGGGTTAGAAGGACCCCGTGTCATAACAAAGCAAGCAAACTCTATTGAATTGTACCAATCAGCCTCATAACTTAGGTGGTGGTGATCTTTAAATGCAATTTCTTTCATAGTAAAATAGCACAGATGTTTTTTATGCCTTGGTGTTCTGTGAAAGCCTCTGAGAGATACTGGCACTCCTGCTGGATGTATAAGTCCAGGGTCTTCTTGCCCAGACCAAAGTTTCTGAGTGTATGAAGAGCAAATCTCCTCTGCTGCTTCCATGGGTAACCATTTGATATCACAAGACCTTTGAACACACAAATACACAATATTAGACTGAATGTAACAAGCATTCGCTTACAGCCCTGATTTGGTGTCTCAATTACGCTTTTGACTGTATTAAACACTAACTATATATATTTTTTTAATGAAAAAGAGAAAAACAGAACCTTCATTCCCAAATAAATCTTCAAACAGTGGTACGGTGGGACGATCTATTAAGTCGTCTCCTTGTTGGACCAGGGCTTCTTTCACAAACTTGTAGCTATTAATGACCACGGTTCTTCCACCAAAGATTCTGATGGTGAAAATGTTTCCATATTTCTCTACAAACTGAACAAAGACAGCAGGTAGATGTTGTGGTTCAACAGTACTCAGAGAATAAATACTGCTTCTACATCCGTAGTGACTGCAGATAATAGAATATTGAGCAATGCTGCCTCACTAATATTATATCTCGTAGAACCCAAGCTTCTCTCTTGTGTGAATAAAGGCAACTTTAGATAAAGTTCACTGAGTCAATGATTGCAAGAGTTTTAAATAAGGGCTTGCCCGAACTTGTTGTGCTTTACTTCAAAAAGGTAAAAGGTCATTTTAGTAACTATTACATCCAATTATACACTGCTTGTGAACATGATAGCGCAATTATAAAATGTATTTTTAACATCTGAATCTAAATATCTTGTCATATTTGACCTCTGATCTCACTTTTAGATTTTACATCTGTCTTCCTTTCAGTTTGACCCTAAAATGTGTTATATCTTTAACAAAAGTTTTATCAAGAGAAAGAGAATGGTTAGTTAGAAACATAATGTTGTTTTATATTGCATAATAAGCTTATTATTATATGCAGTTCTTCAAAAATCAATACCTATTTTCCATTACCTACTCCTACATAATGTTTGTGTAATTAAAGTAAGTCTCTGCCATGCTACCTTCATCTGATTTTTACTGCACTACCATCTGCACTTGCATCTTACAGTAAGTACTGTAACGGACAACCTTATTGACTATCTCTATTCACTTTTGTTTCTTTAAGAGAGATGTTTGGTTGTGCTGCAGGAAAAGCCAATGAGTGTGTGGGAGGGGTTTCTGGTTGTTGTTTTTCGGAGCTGGAGAGGAGCGGTGACCCTCCATGGGGTGAACGCCCGTGTTCCTGTACCTATATACAACCGTGGTGAGATCAAAACGTCTGGTGCTTGAGAGCACATGTGAACGTTACTGTACTTTTAAAAAGACCACAACAAAAAAAATCAATATGGTAAAAATAAAATAATATTCACTTCAAAGTAAATACTACCCAGAGAATGAACTGCCGGGTGGAGGTTTGCATTCTCTGAGTGTGTCTTGTTTGATTATACAAAGATAAGAATGAAGCCCAGGGCTCGTACCTCTCTGAACTGCAGGTGTATTCTGTCAGGTCTGATGCGATGAATGTCACCGAGAAGCGGGAGAGCCCACGGTCCAGGTGGGAAGTTCTTCGGCACTCTGTTCTGCCAAATATTATTCAACAGCAGGAAAACACAGAGAAATATTAAAATGCTCCTTCCATCTATCCACTCAAAGCCAAGAACACTGTATAATGTCTCCATTTAAAGTTCTTAATGTTGAATGCTGGATTACTGTAGTGTTTTAACTGTGCTGCTACCACGAAACAAAGTGCGATCAGACAAATGGGTCCTTAAACACAAAGGTGAAGGAAAGACTCGTGTTCCCGCATCTGGACTTCAAAATAAAAGCTGATAATGGAGGGGTTGTATTTTCGCATGTGCAACATTATTACACGAATTAAATACAGATTACTTCACCAGTGTCAATATCAGTGTTTGAGCGAAAAGTGTTTATTTCCTGCGTGAAACAAAGAAATATAAGCCACTAGCACAGCCTACCCACTTTTTAAAGAAAAAATACAGTATGTAAACAACGTCCAATTACTTCATACCATTTCACAACCATGGACGGGCCAAAAAACAAACAAAATATATAGCTTCCAAGAACACAGCTGAGTTTCGTTTCTTTATTTACACAATTTAAGTCCTTTCAATGACAGTCAACGAGCATGAGGGATGGTCGTCTGCCATGACCGCTGAGGGGATGAACACAGGACAAAGACATGCTGTGAAAGAGACCCAAAGAAATACAATACTAGAAATAACAGTACTACTTATACACATTATATAATATTCCAAGGTAGCAGTATACAGTATACTGCCTAACTATAGATGCATGAATGCTCCCAAATGGTGTGCCTCTGCTTATTGATGTGTTGAGAATTCAGTGATAGCCATAAAATATTAAAATATTCAAGGGCAGAAGGAAATAATTGTTTGTGGAACCTGTTCCAGATGTAGAGGAGGCGTTAAATCCAATAAAAGCCGTTCTCAGTGAGACATAACCGGTTATTACTGACATAATCCTAGAACCTTTGTGTTAAGACTGTTGCACCTATGTGTATAATGTTGGACTATCTCTGGTTGTTGTTTTTTAAGGCCTGGGCCTGTTTTTAGGTTCAAGGTTCAAGGTTCTTTATTTGTCACATGCATAGTTATACAAGTATAACACACAGTGAAATGTAGCCTGACACGCTCCTCGACATGTGCAGAAATGGGAGGGGGGTAGAGGAAGAACATTATCTCTCTCTCTCTCTCTCTCTCTCTCTCTCTCTCTCTCTCTATATATATATATATATATATATATATATATATATTATATATATATTGGGTGAATGTGCAGTAGTAGCAGCAAGCAGGTGAATTCTGTACATTAATATGAATAGACATCTGACTATTTTACAGAATAGGCAATATAAACATATTTAAAATTAAAGGAATTTGGAATGTACATTGTGCCTTGGTTTAGAGTGTCTGGAAGAGAGTCCTGTCTCAGTCAATTATAGATGATGTGAGAGGGCGGATGTGTGTGTTTGTTTAGGGCCCGGGTGGCTTGGGGATAGAAGCTCCTCTTGAGTCTCTCTGTCCTTGCCCGGATGATGCGGAACCTTCTACCAGATTGCAGAAGTTGGAACAGTTTGTTGCCAGGATGGGACGGGTCCTTCAGTATCTGCACCGGCATCTCCTGGTGTAGGTGTCCTGAAGCGGGGGGAGAGCAATCCTGCAATCCTGCTCTTTGTAAATAAAAGAAATGTTCATGATCACCACCCTGGGTTTTGTACTACTTGGCTACCATTCCTTTTTTTTTGTTAGCTTGTCTCCAACTGGTGGAAAGGACCTTGGTTTGGCTTTTTACATGTACAGGAATGCTGACAGCATAAATTAAATTCATTAGGAATGATCAAATTAAAGTACATTAAAAATGAAAAAGTTGATGAAGCGAAAAGACAACATAGAAATAACTCAAAACTCAAAACACAGAAATGATAAAAATAACTCGTGAAAAATCCTGGTTATAAAAATCTGTCTTTAAGAGGAATTTAAAAGATAAAAGTGATCTCGCTGTCAGCTCCCTGACAGAAAAAGCCTGGTAACATCGTTTCTCACCTAAAATATAGGACGACCAGCAGAGTTTTGGCTGAGGACCTTATGACCAGGTACGATGTCAGATTAAAATACACTTTGGTGGAAGCTCAGAGAGGGCTTTAAAAGTCCACAATAAAATCTTAAAACTAATTGTAAAATCAGAACTCCAAATTTCTAAAGGATCATTCAAGTATTGCATCTTATTGAGCTAATAACAGAAGCAATACTCCCGAGGTACAGAGGTCTTTCTTGCACCAAAATCCTAAACTTAATGGTGTCAATTTGGATGCCCAGTTGCACCCAAACACTCCCCACAGCAAAGAAGTCATGATGCAAATCAAGTCCTTTATACCCTGTATTCGATACTCTTTTGGTACTGCAACCATCATGGCACACCTGCTGCTCATTTTAATACAGCTTAAATTATTGGTTTTGAGAAGTATTTCTAAAATGTGGCAATAACACTTTTACTCAAGAATCCCTTGCCACCCTAGATTTTTCTCACTTCAAACACAGTTCAGGTAAAACAAAAAACTTTGACTGGGTACATGCTGATATATAGAGATATGAAAAGTCAAGCTTCAGAAGAGACAAATTTTCAGAGTTACTATTTGTTTAAGGTAAAGTATTCTATAAGCCTTCAAATAAAGTGGAAATTTTTATAATGTTTTCTTTGAAACAAGCTTTTCTCATCATAACATGACAGAATTCAGAATTGTAAAAGCAATGAACAGGCAGGTATCATATACTATGAAATTGTTAGCCAGCAAAGGGACTCAGTCCATGCTTTCACTTGCTTTAATGTCAGAATGAAAGGATAAACTAATCTCAGTTTTAGCTGGTTTAACATTAAAATGTATACTTGAATATAAAAGATTCACTGTGTAAAAGTTTATCAAAACTGGTATACCGGCTGACAAGAACAAAAATGACAAATCCCATTTTACACACACTATGAGATATGAAAAATACAGAGGGGTAGATACTGTATTAGATAATAAATGTGATAAAACAGTGATTCATCAAGCTGAGAATCAGGCATTTTCACTTTGTCATAGTTGCTGGTTTAACGTGTTACAGCACAGAGGCGGTAAGGTTGGGGACAGCGAGTCCCTCCCAGCTGGAACTGCAGACTGGGCTGCTCTCCAGCAGGTGCAGAGAATGAAAACCTCTGAAAGAGGGAGGCAAAGAACAGGAATAACTCCATCCTGGCCAGCTGTTCCCCAATACACACACGCTTACCTGAGAATACACAGCATACAGTTTTATTATGTTAGATAAAATAGTCACTTTTATCACAGATTAATATTGCACAAACAAAGACATTGTGGTGGCAAGATGATTACAAGGAAAGACATAGTATGGGTTTTTCATTTTGCTCTTTTTAGAATAGAAAAGGTTTTGACTTCCAACTAACCTGCAGAAAATGGAAGGAAGGCCTCTCTCTTGCGAAATTTACCATCCTGGTCCAGAAAGTGTTCGGGGTTGAAAGAGTGTGGAGTTTCCCACATTGACTCATCATGTAGGACCGAGTCAAGTGTAGCCAGGATTATGGTGCCCTGAAGAAGTATGACACAAAAAACTGAGATGCTAAAATTGTAAAATAATCAAAAGTGTGTTACGAACTTGCATGTTCATGTGTTTGTTTTGTGCAGGTGATGTATCTTTTTATGTTAATTCAGCTGTGCCAGGGCCCTGCTCCGATTGGTGCGTGGATACACCGCCCTGACGTGACTGGTCCCAGCTGGAGGACCCGCCCATTAAAAGGAGACTGGAGTGCTATGGCGGGAGAGGTCCTTGCGTTTCTCCTCATGATCCAGCAGTGTACCTGTGGCAGCCGCTGGCTGCAGTGCGGCTTAGAAGTTGTGGAAGTGGAGTGGGTAGGGGTGAGCTGCCGTTTCTTTTGATCACCCGTTTTCTCCTGTTTTGAATTAGTTAAGGAGCTCAGACTCTGTCTTTATTTTTTGGGTTTTGTTTTGGTAAGGGCAGGGGTGCGGGATTTGTGTAGATTTGTTTTGTTTATTGTTTTGGCCTTGGCTCACCCTGAAGTGTTGACACTCCCGTTTTGTTGTTCCTTTTTTCCACATTGTAAATAAATCACATTATAACGAACGGATTTGTTTGCTGTGGCTGCTTGGGTCTTGGGGGGGAAGCGAGTGCCTCACTCATGTTATTGCCTGGCCCTAGACGGGTCGTAACAAGTGTAATAAATAAAAAAAATTAAATAAAATCAGAAGAAAGAGAAAATATCAGATATTTAAACTAATAAAATTCATTGGGACAACACCGTGTTTACCACTGTGTACTATATCATCTTTTTACTCATTTTTTTACTCATTTGCAAACTGAGGAGACCTGGTGCTGGACTTTTTTGGAGAAAATGTCCCATCCTTTCTGATATAGGAATTTAGCTGTTAGGCAGTCTTGAGTTTTATTTGTTAGATATTTTTTTGTTTCATGACTCTTCTACTATCCCACCTTTTTAGGACATGTTTCTGTAATCAGATTCAAAATAAGCTGATAGTTTTTATGAAATAGTAAAATATCTCAATTTAAACATCTGACATGTTTTCTAATATATTTCTGTTACATGTTGGTTTATAAAACTTACAAATCACTGCATTCTGTTCTTATTTAAATCTCACAAAATATCCCATTTCCATATATTTTAGCCAATAACCACAGTTAATAATAAATGCATCTAATTTATCAGGAATTTAGATCATTTTCTGAACAATATTCGAAAGACTCACTCACCTACAGGTTCAAGCTCACATAAACACATGATTTCTGTCTTCCCATACAATACTTGAAACACTAGTATGAACTAGAGTGAACAGCTACTTAATTAAAGTTATAACTTTGTGCAACTTCAAAAAAAATAAACAATGTTTGCATCATCAAGTATCAACAACAGTCCAAAATGGACAAATAACAAAGCTGAGGTCGAAGAGCAAGTGTAGGATCTCCTGAATACTTAGAAAGGACGTGGTAATCACCTTGTTTCAACAGTTTGTCCGTTTGTTTGTTTGTTTGTTTGTTTGTTTCGTTTTGGCGTTTATTTGTGTATTGTGTATTTATTTGCTTTTTATGTTTGGGGGGTTGGGTTGGTTCCTGGAGGTTTAAAATGCTAAGCCAGAAAGTCTGACTTGGAAAAATAAAAGGCACTAAAATTATTAGTGGATTGTGCACCTTTGGGATTGTGTACTTATCAATTGCAGTGTCCTTGCTTGCACTGCGGGCCACATTGAAGGGGATAATGTTGCCCATTCTCTGGATCTCATGGATGACCGCATCAGTATAGGGCATGTTTTCTCTGTCAGTCATAGACGGCTGTCTGGATGAACCAATCACAGCATCGATCTCAGCCTGGACTCTCTCTGCGGAGTGAAAACAGGAAACAAGTTTAAAAATAAAGCTTAAGATGAAAATAAACTAAAAAACTAAAACTAAACTGAAATGAGTGAGACTTAAAAAAAACTTAAAAGCCATAATAACTGAGTGTTGTCTGCTGCACAGTTAACTGGGGAGAAAATTCTCATTCCACCTGCAATCAATATGTGATGGCAAGATGATTACACAGTATGCAGGCATGGTGGATATTATGCACACCTTGTATGTCAGGGTAGAAGATCATGTAAAGTAGTCCCCAGTGTAAAGTAGTGGTTGTAGTTTCGCTTCCAGCAAAAAACAGGTCCATAGTGCATGCACTTAAACTGCTGTGATCAAAAACTGAATCACTGCCCTCCTTCTAGCAGAGACAGGAATAAATAACTGTTGACATATTTCATTTGAAATGCAAAACGGAAAACACAGCACACCACTCACCTCTCCCATTTCTATGAGAAAGGCATCGATGTAATCTCTCGGTGATGCTGGGTTAAAATTTTCTATGTGTTCTCTGATTTTCATTTTTATGAAATCAGTTATGTGTCGTTTTAAAGTTAATATCTTCTGATGAGGTCCAGGCAGCCACTTCACCAACCAGGGCATTGTGTTGTACATCTACAGAACAGAAAGACAGTTACCAAATTATATGATGGCCTGGTAACAACTGTGACATTTCTACTTGTGTATTTCTATGTGGTACTAAAAGGATCCTGAATTAACTTGTGTTGGGGAATCCCACAGATCCAAAGATATTGAAGGAAGTCTAACATCCAGGGAAAAATTAAATCTTTCAAAACCTTATTTTGGAGCAAAGTCAACAAACCATTTCAGTTTGGTGATTCTATACACTCAGTTTATGTTTCAGTGACCACTGAAATTAAAGGTTAATCTAGATAATTACTAACACACTTTCCAATTATGGATGTTCAGTAAAAAAAATAAATTTTAGATCAAGACATTTGAATTCAATAAGGTGATGTTTGTTACTTAACTATATATGACATGTATTTAGGACATGTTGTGATGTAATAAGATTAATAAATGTTGTTGCCTTTTTAAAGTAGGTTACCTGTGCCACTGTGGTTCCCTGTAAACGTACTATCTCGGTAAAGTTATTAAGAATAGACTGATACTGCTCATCAGTGTACTCAAATCGATCCCCAAATACCAAACAACAGATGATGTTTGACACGGCGTTGTTTAACAGTGGCTGGGCATTAACAGGCTTTCCTGTAGAATAAAGAGACAATGAGAATACGAGGCAGTAAAAGGCTTGTTGCGTAATGATGTTTGTGCAATTTCTAAGTGTGTGTGCGTGTGTTTGTGTGTGCCTTGATGATCCGCAAAGGCCTCTGTGAGATACTGGCACTCCTGCTGGATGGAAAAGTCCAGGGTCTTCTTCCCCAGACCAAAGTTTCTGAGTGTATGAAGAGTAAATCTCCTCTGCTGCTTCCACTGATACCCATTTGACATCACAAGACCTTTGGACACACACACACACACACACACACACACACACACACACACACACACACACACACACACACACACACACACACACACACTGATGCTGCTGGTCTAATTGCTGCTAATGAGATTCTTTTGGGGGAAAAAAGGAAAAGAAAAAAAACACCATTATTCCCAAATAAGTCTTCAAATATGGGTACTGCGGGACGATCTGTGAAATCTTCTCCTTGTTGTACCAGCGCTTCTCTCAAAAGCTTATAGCCATTAAGGACCACAACTCTTCCACCAAAGAGTCGAAGGCTGAAAATTTTTCCATATTTCTCTGCAAACTGAACACAGAAAGTGGACAGGTGTGTTAGTGAGGATGACAACTGTGTTTTTATACATCGCTTTGCATTTAAACATTCGTTTTTATTCATCTCTGACTCTCTTGCACGCTATGTTTTCGTACTGTTTCCATCCCCTCACCCCAAACCAGTCGCGGCAGATAGTTACCCGTCCCCGAGCCTGGTGCTGCTTGAGATTTCGTTCTGCTAAAATGCAGTTTGTTGCCATGTGCTTGATGGTTGCTGGGGTTTTCTCTGTATTATTGCAGGAATTTACAATATCCTAATCACACTGGTGGTAGATGTTGTTTATTTGATCTTTTTTTTTAACCCACTGCCAGGTGGTTGCAAGGCATTTATAATTCACCTTTTATCAGGGGCGGATCTAGAGAAATTTTCTTAGGGTGGCAAAGAAATCAAATGGGGGTGGCAAAATCAAAGCCTTTTTTTCCCCCCAAACACATATGCAGGTGGTTACATATGGTTAAAATGATTCAAATGCAGTAAGTATACACATTTTTCAAATAAATATAGTCTATAACTTAATTATTGTCTGTAGTCCACATAATTACACACTTAAGTTACATAAAACATGTGAGTTTTGATGTTATGTACTGTATAGCCTGTATAATAAATAAATATGTAGCCCAATAAGTATAAAATCCAGAAAGCTACACAACATGGGGTGGTTCATTTACAAACACAAGTCTAACTTAAGTTTCACACTGTTTTTTGTTAGAAAACAATCACATTGTTACAGCTTAAATTACACAAAATGTCAGAAATCTGCACTGTTATGAACAAAAATTTAAACCTAATTTTTCATGATTTGTTGGATTAACCCACTGAGGTCTGAAATACAACCGGCCATTTTTGACTCCTTTTGAGTTTCGGTTTGTATTTCACCCTCAAATTGTTTCATTTTATTTTTTCCCCCCCTTGCCTTGTTTGGTATCATTCTTTTCAGCTCAACTGAATTTAGTTGTTTTTTTCACTGACATACTGCATTAGTACTATTATTACTATTAATAGTACTATTACTGATCTGAAATCACACAAAGAACTTAAAATCCTAGTAGTATTTTTTACTGTAAAAAAACCCCACAGACATGTTGAGTAAATTTTTATAACTTGAAATGCAAATATAAATTGTTCATTTATTGTTCATTTTGTAAACATATACAACTATTTATCTAAAAATGCAGCCAATACACCTGCCGTTTGTTTTTTTCATTTTCTACAACCATTTAAAAATATTACTAAAATTAAAGTGAGAGAACAATTAAGTGTTGCAATAAGATGCTCCACAAATGATGTGTGCCAATAAAAAAAAGTTTGTCCACCAAAAGACAGAGGAGAACAGCACAGGGATAAACCTGCAGGCCTGACAACAGGAGGTGTATCACTCTGCTGGTTTTCTACTTAGTGACAGTGTTTACATTGCAAATGTGCCTTAGTGACATTCATTAGTGCCCTCACTGACACACAAAACAAAACGACTACACAACAGAACAGCTACACAAGACAACACAATACACTAAGTATACACTCCACACTAAACGTCACAAATCTCCCACATCTAAAAACTCTCCCTCACTCGCTTGCTCTGTCTCGCTGCCGTTACCGTCATTCCCAAAACTTTTCCCTCTTCCCAAACAACCAAATCCCACATGTTGACTTTTTTTTTAAATTGGTCGACATGGTACATTTTTCCACCGATAGGAAAGAGGTGTTTTTTTCCCTTTCTTTACCGTTTTCGCGCTGTCCTTAGAAAATGCTTAAAACACACACACACAAAAACGTAACGACAGTATTTAGAAAAAAAGCATGGCTTATATATATTATCATAACTCTGGATTTACTGGCCTGTAATTAAAATGTAAAAACTTTAAAGTCCGAACTTTCAATGTGGGCTGAAATAGAGACTCAGCATGGCTGCAGCTTTTTGCTATGTCAGCTTAAAATAGTCATGTGATTTGGAGGTGCAGCGTGTCCGTGGACCACGGAGGGTTAATAACACTCACCTTCCTTCCATTTCCAGAGTGTAACATCCAACCACCTGTGTAAAATCCAAAATTCCCATGGTGTTGTTTAAAATGTGCTCTGGCACAATCATAAGCATGGCTTGCTACTGAAAACAAGAAAAAAGCTGGTCCTGCTATGGGCTGAACCATTTGTTAATGGTGCAGGGGTGGAACACTATCCAATATATTCAGTTTTAGCATTTATATTCACTGTTGACTGTAACTACGATAAAAACTGTTAATGCTATCTTATTTTAATAAACAACACCGTCATATGCAAAACTGGGGTGGCACTTGGGGTGGCAAGGGATCATTTTAGGGTGGCACTTGCCACCCCATGCCACCCTTCTAGAGCCGCCCCTGCCTTTTATGGATATAAATAACATGCTACAGTTCTGAAATGAAAATGAAATGATGCTTAAGGCTAAATCCAAGGTCATTTTTACATGCTGCAAGGTGATTGCCAACATGATAAATATGTAAAAATATATATTTGAAAATAATTACATATATAAAGAATTACTTAAAAATCGAGTATCATCATTTAAAGAATTTAATAACTCATTCATTTTTAATTATTTTTTGTATTAATTAATAATATTTTTGTTATTTAAATATTTAACATTTTAATTCATTAATGATACATTTAATTAAATATTTAATAATGTATTTATTGACACTCCAAGCCCTCCATACACTTAAACACGCTATGCAGATTTAGAACTACACACGCATAGCACACTCATACCGCAGAGAAATGCAAAAATGTTTGTGTTTGATTGCAAAAGCAAAGCAGGAGTGACATTATTTCATTGTCGGTAATGTTATAAAACCAGCTCCATGAACTGCTGAATGAACAGTCTGACCTACAGAAGCACAAAGCTATTGCGAATCGAATAACAAAATATAACTTGCACATTTGATTAGTGTAACTTAAAGTGTATCAGTACAATTCAGTTAATGAGGCAGAGCGACTTTATTGGGCAGGTCTGGTGTCTTCATCTTAAACTCTAAACTTAGCATAAAATCTTTAAGTTTAATCCTCTAATGAAAACAATAAATGTGTATTTTAAAAGCGGTCAAACTAGAGTGTTACTTTAACCTGTCAGCAATTTGTTTAATATAACATATTATTCTTATGTATAGTGTCATACCTCTGCGAACTGCAGGTGAAGTCTACTAGGTCTGATGCGATGAAGATCGCCGATGAAAGGAAGTGCCCAGGGTCCAGGAGGAAAATTTCTCGGCACTCTGTTCTTTAAAAAATCAGTCAGGAGCAGAAAAACACACAGGAATAAGAAAATGCTGCTGAAGTCTATCCACTCTAACCCGAGGACACTGTATAATGTCTCCATGTCTTCAGTTGTTTGTGCTGACCTGTAGTTCGTTTACAGGTAACAATCAGTTGATCGATTTGTTAACTCCCCCTCGAGCTTTGGTTTCTTTTCACAAAGAGAAAAAAGAGAAACCAAATGCTTCATTACAAAACACGTGAGAACGTTTACTCCGCTTATTCGTCAGATGTGTCAGGGATGGGATAACACTCTTAACTGCGCCAGCACAACAGATCTGAGGTTTGGTACCAAATGCATGCGGTAAGCATGCAGCTGGGGCATGCTAGGTTGTGAAAACAGTGCTCAGTGCTCTCTTGTTGTACCTGCAGCTGCTGCAGAGGGGTCCAATGGCCAAAAAGCAATATAGTAACACAGATTTCTCTTTGAAAAGCGCATATTAGCATAGTAAAACCTTCACTGGCTGTAATGGTGGTTTAACCAGATCCCTTAGTTTCTGTAGATGTTCATAGAACTTGATTTTTTCTCAACAGAGACTTCAGAAGTTGAACTTCAGAACCTGTAATCTGCTGAATGCACTCTCCCAGTTTAGGGGTTGAAGCCTCCAATGCACCCATTCAACCTCTCAACCTGCTCCAGTTGTACCTCAGTCCTCTTAATCTCACAATTTTACTGTCACCAATCTGAAACTTGCTGTTTTCAACCACTTTTAGAGGTGTGTCCCATTGTGTGTCTGTACAAAGAACAGGCAGATTCCACACAAAAGCTCCAGCCAGCAATGCGGTTCACATCCAGCCTATAATTATCCTTTGTTTATAATCTTAAGATTGCTGAATTATTGGTCACTAATAGTATTTGTGTGGTAATAGTGCTTTCACTTAAGGATTTAAATATTTGCCTCACCATGGTTACTTTAGACGTGGTGACATTCTCTCACTGGTTATTTTATATCATGCACATGTGAAGATAAAGAACACCTCAGAATTTTCTTTGTGTGCAAAGGCAAAGGTTTGATTTACACCCAAGAAAAGTTCTTTACTTCTTCACATGCCAGAATGTGGTGTTTTATTCATGAAGACAACAAGTGACTCTGAAAGCCTTTAAATAAAGAGTAAAGTGTTTATTGAAACTGAAGTGTCCAGATTACATCATGCATTCTCAAACTGATAAACAGCACTGAAATGAACTGCACTCCCACCCGTTAAAACTCAGTCTGAAACTATATTGTGACCTTAAACACAAATCCTAATGACAGTGTGATTTATTTGAGCACAATGAGTTTGGTAGGCCTGACAAATTTAATGTGCACTGGAAAAGACTTTAAGAAAGTTGCAGGAGAAGATATTTATTGCTATTTTAATATGGAGAGGATGAAAAATAACAATTGACCTTAATCTAAAGAAATAGTAATATAGCAGATCATCATTCATTACAACATAAATGTAATGGTAGACGGTGATTCGTTGCGATCCATTTTGCTGGGAAAATAAGTGCTCAGATTAAAAGAGCTGGTGTTTAACGTGGCACGGCACAGAGGCGGTAAGGTTTGGGACTGCGAGTGGCTCCTAACTTAAACTCCAGACTGGGCTGCTCTCCAGCAGGTGCAGAGAATGAAAACCTCTGAAGGAGGGAGGTAAAAAACAGAAATAACTCCATCCGGGCCAGTTGTTCCCCGAGACACACACGCTTGCCTGAATACACAATGAGACACACAAGTTTTATTCACACAATTTAGAAGTTAATCCTCAGCAAAGTTAACACTGTTATTGTAAATGGCTGCTAAGGCAAAAGGTTAATGGCAAGACATTCTCCTTCAGTAATTTTGACTCTTTAAAGCACTTGGCTTTAAACAGCCTTTAACTGGATTTGATGAACTGCAACAACTGACTAACCTGCAGAAAAAGGAAGAAAGGCCTCTCTCCTCTTGAATTTACCATCCTGGTCGAGAAAGTGTTGAGGGTTGAAGGAGTTTGGAGTTTCCCACATTGTCTCGTCATTTAAGACCGAGTGTAGAGCAGGTATGATCATTGTACCCTGAGAAAATACAGCCAGTTAGAAGCGTTATTTATTTGTGTCTCTTTAGCGTTTGTGCTAGTCAGTTTGTCATACATGTTTCTGGTATTGCTAATTGTTTGTGCATTTATTACTTCTACAGTAGACTATTCATTAGTGCCAGGTCACTATAAATGCTCACTGAAAAGCCTTCAGTGAGCATTGATCCAAAATGCTGCAGTAAGAGCTCTAACAGGGACTAGAAAGACAGAACAGATTTCATTCATATTCACTTCTCTTCATTGGCTTCCAGTTAAATCTAGAATTAAATTTAAAATCCTTCCCCTTCCCTTTCTTTTTTCATTCTCTATGTGTTCATCCATTTCTTTGTATTTAATCATTAGTTATTATTAATGTCTGGCTCTCTTCCACAGTGTGTCTTTTTGTTCCTTTCTCCTCCCCTCACCCCTCGTCTGGTCACAGCAGATGGCTGCCCTTCCCTGAAGCTGGTTTTGCTGCAGGTTTCTGCTTGTTTAAAGGTAGTTTTTCCTTCCTACTGTTCCCAAGTAATTCCCTAAAAGGAGCCATCTGATCAAATCAAATCAAATCAAATCACTTTTTATTGTCACATCACATGTGCAGGTACATTGGTACAGCACATGCGAGTGAAATTCTTGTGTGCGAGCTTCACAAGCAACAGAGTTGTGCGAAATACAATAACATAAACAGGCAAAATATACGAATGGCTAAATCTGAAACTAATAAATATATGTACAATATATAATAGTATATGCAAAAAAAAAAACAAAACATTTCTGGATGTGTATACTAAATGTTTTTCTACGTGTGTGTGTGTGTGTGTGTGTGTGTGTATACACATATTATACAAATTAAATAGAGTCAATAAATAAAATATGTAAAAATATACAGAGTTGAGACATGTGCAAAACAGTGGCATTACTGTACAGTATGGAGTGCATAATGTTGATTGTTGGACTTTAACAATAATCAGCACCCCAAGGTGACAGTTATTGTGATTTGGTGATATCTAAATAAAATTGAATTGAAACTAACTATATTCATACTGTGTTTAATGTTTAGGCCCCAAGTATATTTTGGGATGTCTCAGCATCTCAGTCCATCTCATTTGTGTCCCATTCTCACTCTTGCTCTAGCTTTTATTTTCTAGCTTAAACACATTTTACTGGATATATTTTCTGCATTTTGTGGTGAAGTTGGGGCAGCTTTTTATGGAAGTTACAGTGTTCTCACGTGACATATAGGCTTGTTTAACTTAACACAACAGGTAGTTGTAGTTTAGGATGTTCTGGAATTCAAAACAAAACTTTATTTCAGTCAACCAACTTTGAGAATCCTGGCATTAGACAATAAAAGGACGGCTTTCCTAGTTTTTAATTCAAAATCTATCTGAAAAAAAAAAAGGAAAATGCAAAAGTGCTATAAAATTTCTCTTCACAATTGCTTTGTGTACCTTTGGGATTGTGTACTTATCCACTATCGTTTCCCTGTTTGCAACATGGGCCACATTGAGGGGAATGATGTTGCCCATTCTCTGGATCTCATGGATGACCGCATCAGTATATGGCATGTTTTCTCTGTCAGTCATAGACGGTTGTCTGGATGAACCGATCACAGCATCGATCTCAGCCTGGACTTTTTCTGCACATAGTGGGAAAACAAACTGGTGGCTGTTGTTGCAATTTCGCACTATTAAAAAAGTAACTGATGTTTATGCTGCTTAGATAACCAGGGGGGAAATTTACACATCTTTCTCTCCCAACATAAGAAAGATCTGTGAGAAATCCCTGAAAAAAACTAATAGAAAGATGGTCACAAGTGTGTATTCAGGATTAATATTGTTCATACACTTACCTTGAATGTCAGGGTAGTAGATCATGTATAGCAGTCCCCAGTGTAAAGTAGTTGTAGTGGTTTCAGTTCCAGCACCAAACAAGTCCAGGGTGCAAATGCACAAATTGCTGAGACTAAAACCAGAGTCTTCGTCCTCTTTCTATCAGAGTGACAAAAGCCAGAAGTGGGAAACATGTTTCATTAAAAAATGTAAATGAACAAGAACACATTTTGAAAACACTTACCTCCCCCATTTCTAAGAGAAAAGCATCAATGTAGTCTCTTGGTGATGATGGGTTGAAGTTTTCTCTGTGTTCTTTGATCTTGACTTCTACAAAGTCAATTATCTTTTGGGTTATAGTGAATATTTTTTGGTGAGGTCCAGGCAGCCACCTCATCAGCCAGGGCAATGTGTTGTAAATCTACAGAACAGGAAGACAGCCAATAAAGCATCTGACACCCTGGAAACAGTTAGCTTTCAAAGATATTACATCACATGGTGTCCCTGCAGTTCACTTATCAACTACCCATGGCAACCTACTAGAAGTAAACAGAATAACCAATATGTTACTGTTAAGTAGCTCAAATTGGACAAAAGTAGGCTTAAACTGTGATAGACAGTAATGAAAAGTAACCAAGCAAATTCATTTAAACACAATTTTAAAGTGCACTTTATTTGCAATTAATATCAGTTTTACATTGCACCAGATTTCAAAATATGTAACTTTCTTCCTCCACTGTTTTTAAATGAACTCAACATTGAAATATTTCTGCTTTTGGATATCAGTGACAGAATCTGAGAAAAGGCAGAGCGTTGGTGGAGTCTAATATGCACAATAGTTATGCTCCACTAACTGCTCCGTTTGCAAAAACAGCTTGGGCTGCACAAAAAAGTTCAGTTAAAGTGGTTTTATATATGTTCTGTATGAATCCTGAGTCAAACAACAACTACAGTATGTAAAAGAGTTTCACCTGTGCCCACATGGTTCCCTGCAAGCACACTATCTCATTGAAGAGCTGCAGAATTGACTGAAACTGCTTGTCAGTGTACTCAAATCGATTCCCAAACACCAGACAGCAAATGATGTTGGACACAGCATTGGTTAACAGTGACTGGGTATTAAAAGGATTTCCTGAAAGAGGCCATTAGACAAAACATTAGAGTAAACTTATATTAATGAATTTTGGATACTTTAAAACAAATTTTACATGGACTTATGTTTAAGTTTAAAACGTAGGAAGTTGTTGTGTGTTTCAGTATGACTGTTTGAATAGTTGGATTTAGAGTCTTATGTAGTAATGTGTGGGTGTACGTTGTCTTGCAGAAGTTTGAGGTAAAGTAAAAGGATATATCCATATTAACCATTAATGGTTATTATTAACCAAGATTAAAAA